ATCAGAGCTGCACACATTTTTCGGAAATCAGGGTTTAAGGCTTCATCTTTGTACACAACGGCATCTTTTGGTAGTCGAAAATACGCCTTCAAGGTAATATGAGCAGTTGATTGAACATTTCTCTAAACGTCAGCATCTACTCACAGAACTGATGGTAGTTCCAATAGATTTACCTCTTAAATTCCTTCTAATAAATGGCACACCTTGAACATAATTTTCATCATCAAAAAATAGTTCCACTGAGCTTATCATCACATATAATTAGTTTTTCTGAAATATTTTATTCATTGTTTTTTTTTTTTTTTTTTTTTTGTTTACAATATTTCTAGTTGTAGAAATGTCAAAACAGTATTATCGACAGCAACTGAGAAAAGTTGATATTCATAATGTTATTTTATTTCAATTGCGTTGCCAGTTGAACTCGCATCTGGAGTTTGGTTGCATTCCATAATCGACACATTAATATTTTCCTTTTGACGTCTAACATAATTTTGTATGTATGTATATGTTTCAAAATATGATTTGACAGCAAACTTAATACTCAGCTGTGCTTACTGTCCGACCTTATTTAGGGTTTGGTTCTGATTGTTTGAATTAAATTTGCCTAAATTTTCAAATGTCAATGCGAATTGAATTTTGTTTGTCTTTTTTACAAATTTTGACATATTATGTTTTGACATATTATGTTTGTTGTAGTAATTCGTCGATGCGACTACCTAATATATGTGCCTTGCATGTAACTTTTGTAAGCAGAGTTGCTGAGTTCTTAGAAGTGAGAGGTATAAAAAGTGGCAAGAGGGAAGAAATTCAAAATCAAGGTAGATATACAAGGTAGCCGCCAAAACAAGCAGATTCACAAGATTTTTTTAAACAAATTCTTGTAGAAAATGTTAATAAAAGTATTGCCAAACCAGCTCTTCGAAATTCTGAGATTTTCATTTATAATTTAGTTTTTTAATTTTTGGGTTCAACATTACAACAACATTTTTTACATTTATTTGCACCAACAGCTGGGCCGATGCGGCTACCTTATTAAATATACATTGGTCTCAATTTAGATTAGGCGAGTTTACTTGCGGCAAGTCTTTGTTTGATGGAGAGAGGGGCAAGGGGAATAGAAATGGAAAAAAATTGCTCGTACCGACAATTTTCTGGCAATTCGTTTTGTGTTTTAGTTTATAGTGTCATATCAGAAAAAATAATTCAATTCAGAAAATATGAATATCCCAACAAAAAACTAAGGGAACTGATGAGGATCAGTGGCGTGATCCGAAACTATAGTTTTCCCTGCCTTACCCCTCGGCAAACAATGCCATACATTCCCCACTAATAAATAGTTGTTTTTTATAAAAACAACAAACTGGGATTCAGCCTGACTATTTTGCAAAAACAAAATACAAATGGTATCCCAAATAAACCGCCAACACTATTTTTCAAAAACATAATTTCAGAATATTAGATAATTTTCAAATAGAATTTTTCGGCAACCATTTATATCTGGTTGCTGTTTATAACAATTGAACTTTGTAGGCTTCCCATAATGGTTAATATTACTACAACTGGGATTCAGCCTGACTTTTTTGCAAAAACAAAATACAAATGGTATCCCAAATAAACCGCCAACACTACTGAAGTTGTAGACGCAGGCACGGTTAAACTGTTTGGTTTGTTGCTGTTAGCAACACCAACAAACTTTGTGCATTTGTCGCGATGTGACAACACACAACAGTGGGAAAGGTGTGGTATTGTTTGTAAATGCCTTGTTAACCTCGAAATGAGACTCCAGCGAAATTCGAATTGGGTATGAAAGGTTTTTTGTATAGAAGCAATAGCTTCTGGGGAGAATATCCCAACAAAAAACTAAGGGAACTGATGAAGATCAGTGGCGTGATCCGAAACTATAGCCTTCCCTGCCTTACCCCTCGGCAAACAATGCCATACATTCCCCACTAATAAATAGTTGTTTTTTATAAAAACAACAAACTGGGATTCAGCCTGACTATTTTTCAAAAACATAATTTCAGAATATTAGATAATTTTCAAATAGAATTTTTCGGCAACCATTTATATCTGGTTGCTGTTTATAACAATTGAACTTTGTAGGCTTCCCATAATGGTTAATATTACTACAAAAGAACAATTTGAGGTCCTTATTGCCCGGATGGAAGCTCACCCAAATGTAGCACGCGGCGTGCGGACTTTTGGTCAAACCAAAGCCACTATCGATGATGTGTGGAAGGCCATTTCAGAAGACCTTAACTGCAATGGCCCACCAACACGCATTCCAAATGAATGGCAGAAAGTGTCGAACATCTTCTTTTGGGTCCATGATATGACGTGTGTATCATCAATACATTCGACAGAACCCTGGAACTTTGTTTTCGAATAAAAAAATGTATTCTTCCCTTTATCCTCCTCCGTTAATTTGAATACAATTTCCTCTATTAGCCGGATAACTTCGGCGAAAACCACCGACAGTGTCGGTTGAGCCATGCCAAGGTTGAAGTCATTGCTATGGGACTTTTGAAAACTTCCCTCCACAAAAAACATCAGAGCTGCACACATTTTTCGGAAATCAGGGTTTAAGGCTTCATCTTTGTACACAACTGCATCTTTTGGTAGTCGAAAATACACCTTCAAGGTAATATGAGCAGTTGATTGAACATTTCTCTAAACGTCAGCATCTACTCACAGAACTGATGGTAGTTCCAATAGATTTACCTCTTAAATTCTTTCTAATAAATGGCACACCTTGAACATAATTTTCATCATCAAAAAATAGTTCCACTGAGCTTATCATCACATATAATTAGTTTTTCTGAAATATTTTATTCATTTTTTTTTGTTTGTTTACAATATTTCTAGTTGTAGAAATGTCAAAAATGAAATGTTTCAAGAAATGTTTCAAAATATGATTTGACAGCAAACTTAATACTCAGCTGTGCTTATTGTCCGACCTTATATAGGGCTTGGTTCTGGTTGTTTGAATTAAATTTGCCTAAATTTTCAAATGTCAATGCGAATTGAATTTTGTTTGTCTTTTTTACAAATTTTGACATATTATGTTTGTTGTAGTAATTCGTCGATGCGACTACCTAATATATGTGCCTGAGTTCTTAGAAGTGAGAGGTATAAAAAGTGGCAAGAGGGAAGAAATTCAAAATCAAGGTAGATATACAAGGTAGCCGCATCGGCGAATTTCTACAACAAACATCGGTTGTTATATTTTGATATGTTTGTATATGTTTGCTACCGAATTGCCTTGTATAGACGCATAAAGCAAGTTCAAAAGAGAACGATAAGAATTGCCGCAAGTAAACTCGCCTAATATAAATCAGGACAATGAGGACAAAAAATTTTCACAAAGAGGAAAATCTAATAATTAATTTTGTATTTATTTTTTTATAACAATGAATCTTGCCACAGCTTACTCTTTTGACCTTATCTGTCGGTTGTTGTTGTAGCAGCCCTATTGCTTTTACAATGGGCTGAGGTGACAGACGTTGGCAGAGTATGACTCGGGTCGTTTCGGATCGTAGACCCCTCTGTCTGTCGGTAGTACAAGACATAATGCCTGCCGTACCCCTCCGTTAACAATACCATTTTCCCCCATTAAGAAATATTTTTTATATGTTTTTGCAACAACAAAATACAAATGGTATCCCAAGGACACCGTCAACACTACATTTTTTGGAAAATATTTTAAAACATAAAAAATTAACCATCAACATTATTTAATCAATATTGTCTGTCGCCGTACACGAAATTTTCAAATTGATATCGGATTTGCGGGTTCTGGAACAGAGCAATACTTACCGGATATAATTTTTAACATTAATTAACAAAAATCTATATATAGAGTCGACGCCCGGTATAACGAATACTCAGTTTAACGAATTTGGGATATAACGAATGATAAAAATAGACGATTTTTTATACTGACTATCGGAATGGGTATAACAACTGACGCAAAAAAAAAAAATTTATAACATGTATAATAGGCCTCTTAGGCTTCCTTTGTATTGATATTATAAATAAACAAAAAAATAATGGGCTAGGCTAATAAGAAATATTATTATTACTGTTATTGCGTCAATTAATATATTTTTTGTTAGAAATGCTTTAAAAAGTGTATTAAATTTTTTGTTTTTAAATAAAATTGCACCTTGAAATAACTTTGCGATATAACGAATGGGCCTGACAATATATCATTCGTTATACCGGGCGTTGACTGTAGTTCATAAATTTGATAAACTTCGGACGACAGAAAAGTAATAATAATCATTGTTTTCCTGGGGCCTGGAATATTTTTTTTAAAATTCAAATTTATTATTCAAAATAGCCTTCGAACAATTTCATAAGAGAAACACAAAGAGCAGTGGCAGAATTGCGTACAAAAGTTGCATAAACCTTATTTTCACATCAAATTTAATTTGGTATATGCATTTCTATGGGCGTGTGGAATGTTGTGCTATGTGAACGTTTCCGTTTCAATTAAATGCTTGTCTTAGTATTAAATGCAGACCGAAATTTAATACTTTCCCGTATTGATAAAATGATGCCGTGGACTTTTCTATTGTGGATAGATGACAACAGGGTCTACGAGACATCTCTTTTTAAATAAAATTATTTACAATTGTCTCGGAAATTCGGAGTCCCATATTTCTGAAAATATGGATCTCCAAAAGAAAAGAAGCATATTGTTGTAATCAGGACTCTAAAACTATATATGGGTAAAATTTCAAAACGAACAGAGACTATGTCTTAATCTAGAATTAAACCAAGTCTAGTTTAATGGTCTACGGACTATATGTGGTAAAATTTTCAAGACGATCCGCTACTGATCGTTATACTAGACTTAAGCCTAAACCATATATTGGGTCTGGAAGACGAGACCTACCTATGGCAAAAATTTGAGCTGACCTACACTCTATTGTTCCACAATTTCATTCGAATAACTAACTTTAAAATGTTACGGACAATCCGTAAAGTATACTTACCGTAATTCGAAGATGAAGCTGAAGATTTACGCGATTTATAGTTATTCAGAGAAGATTGAACCTCTTTTGCATTGAATGGTGGATATTGAAACTGCATTGAAGAACTCTGATTGGAGACTAAAGAAAACAATGTCAGACAAATCGATGTTAGTTCCTATTTCGATTTTAAATGATCTAATATGTATAGTAATTATACCTGAAGAATTATCTTCGTTAGTAGGGGAAGCTAGATTATCATATGCAGATGCTTCTTCCTCATGTTGGCTCCATGGTATATTTCGATCCTCATTTTTTGCTGAACATACAAAGGTAAAAAATTCATATTTTAATTTTGTTTCGTCTAAACCGACACAAACTGTTTCTTGAACCATATATATGTATATATATAGATATGTATTTTTGCGGTGTTTAATTCAGGGCAAAACCGGGGAATTTGTTATGTATGTACGTCAACAAGAAAACAATAATTTCAACTGATTACCTGTATTTCCGGGTACTTTCATCTGAAATAACACAGAACAAAAAATGCAGGGGTCATTAGATTGCATTTATATAAATCATAATATAGTATCCTCATAAGGCATCTATCCCACTATACCAAATACACAACAAAATAAAAAATACCTGATCTGACACGCCTGATGACATTTGATGTAAAATTACTGAACCTTTCTGTAAGTTAAAAAAGGTAGTGGTGCTCACTTTATAGACTTCACTTCAGTAAATCTTCTTACTTTATTAACACAAACAGTTTTTACGTAAATTATATATATCTTATAAGTTTTCACAGTAATTGTTTGTATGTATGGTATTTTCAATTATATCTCTTTTATATTATATCCTCCACCTTAAAATAAAGACACCACCATTTTGCTTTTTGTCACTAGGGACTAGTACGTCGACATTTAACTTGTCGATTATTGTTATCGATAACCTGTTTTACTAAAACATACCATTGTTATCGGAACATCCGAATATGGTTATCGAAAATCTCAATCATTCAATAATTGGTCTGTTCCCGTACTCGACAAAATATTTCCAAAGCTTATAATGCCTTGTTCTGACGGTCATTCGAATAACATTGTTCGCTCCCACATGAATTAACCCGCTCATACAACACTATTCTTAATGCATGTCATCACAGTTTATTTTTTAATTTTTATTTGTTTCTTGTTGTACAACAAATGTTAATATATTTGCGTGAATCACATATTGATTGAAAAAGAAACAAATATTTCTCTTTCTCCTGGCTGTAGTATTAATCCATACCTGTTCAATTTTAATTCATGTTTTCCATTTTTTGTGAAAATATTGTAGTTTTGAATATATTTTTAATATTCTCAATTCAAATGTCATTTATATAAATATTGGAGAATTTTTGGGTTGGGGTTTCCCCACATTTGTTTCTGGTTTGTACGCCAATTAGAACCAAAGGGAATGAAATGCAAATTGCATTATGAAGAAAACAAAATTTACATCCTGCTGCATATATAAAAACTATACAATTTTCTACTTTTCATTCGTCATTTTCAATATTACTGAAAAACTTTGAATATTTTATAAATATTTTCATTCTGTCAATATTTATTTATTTTTGATAACTACTCTTAATTGTTAGGATTGGGAAAATTTCTTGGTTATTCAGAGAGTGATTCGAATTGGACAATGTAGAACAAATTTCTATTCACAGATTTAATGCAACTATCCTAAACAACATCCTTGCATTCGGGAGGTATAGTACATTTTTTCCGAAAAATTAAAGTCCAATATCAAGAAAACCAAATGCAGTTCGTCGAACAGCTCACAAGAAAGACGCATTTAAAAAGTTAATCACTCTTACAAAATGGCGCTGTGTTAAGAGTTCGGTTAAATTGCCACGTGATTTATCGAACTAAACGAAAAATATAAGAAAATCTCGTTCATATGGTGCTGGAGGAGGACCTGCCTCCAGTTTTTAGAGATAAAAAAAGAAAACCAAAAACAGCAAGTGTTGTTGTACAAAAAACGATACAACAACCACATGGAAATTTGTTTTTGTAAGTTCTACATTTTTCTGTCAAATGAGTTGACACTACATTTGACAGAAAAATGTAAATAAACAAACAAATTATGATCAAATTATTTTTATTTTGAAAATGAAATAATTTCGAATCCTCAAAATAAAAATTGAAAAACATGAATGAAAATCTATCAAATTTATATTTCTATCTATTCCACATCTTTCCTATAATTGAGCCATTGCCATATATATGTGTAACACATATGAAAATGCTGGGAATAGCGAGTTATTCCTTGAAGAAAGATTTGCTTCCTTAAACTTTCCCAGCAGGCAGATTGAGTAAATTGAATACAGGAGCACATTTAATAAAGAACAATTTTAAATTGTATGCGTTCCCAATTTTCCTGTTGGGTGATTTTTAAAAACATAATTTGTCAAATTCATATTGACACTAGTATAACGTTGGAATCAAATCAGCTGGGATTTGCTGTTACCTTTTATAATTGTACCATGGTAAATACCTATGGGTTCTTACTATATTCCGGAGAAAGAGAATAATTTTTTTATATAAATTCATAGGTAATACTAACAAATAAGTTGAGATTTCGGTGTAATAGGAGAAACAACAAATTTGAAAAAGAAAATTCTGATAACACGAATTAAGAATAGTGTTGTATGAATGGGTTAATTCATGTAAGTAATTCTGAGAGCGAACTACGTTGTTCGAACGCAAAATGTTAAAACGCACGCAAAATGTTAAAATGTATTTAAAGGGCTAAGCAGAATGCTCGCGTTGAGCCATCCGTCGCGTTATATGTTATCGAAAATACAACAACCACAAGGAAACGATAACACAAACGCTCGAAGTTGATGTGCGCTGCGCTTCGGAGTTAAATATATATATTTTTTTTACTTCTACGTCGTCAAGTATGTTGGTGGTTAGAACACTTTCGTGCCCATTCACCATGACCGGTTATTGGTTACTTGAAAGGTATAAGTACCCATTTATTTTCGTTTTCTTTTTGTTTACAGTATGTGCGTGTTTACAGAATGTAGTGATATGAATGGAATACATAAGAAATCAAAACAAAATCAAAAATAAAGGAAAATATAAAAAGAACTTTAAGCAAGGATGATGATTATTTACAAATAAAAGTCAAACTTCAATTTTGCAAAGTGCAATAAAGCTGATTAATTCATCTATATTTTGTTGGTTTTTGGACATCAGGATTTCCGGTAAGTTGTTAAATTTCTTGAACAAATCAAAATCATTCCTATTATTTTGATGCTTTTTGCAGAAAAAAATAATGTGTTTTTCATCATCAATTTCGTTGCAGGTTTCACAAAGATTTGAGTCAGCAATTCCAATTCTGTGGAAGTATTTTTTGGTGTAAGTATGACCAGTGAGCAATCGATTAACAATCTTTATGTTTTCAGGTTTCATTTTTGATGAAAAGAACCAGGGCTGTTTAACAGGCGCCGGGAAGAATTCCGTTACGTTTTCTAGAGTTTTTATTACTTGTATTTTATAGAAAAAAAATAAAATACATTATTTCTCACTATTTCGTAAACATTTTTTACCTGTACAATGAATGCGCACCATTAATGTTAAGTCGTTATGAAAACAGAGAATACAAAAAAGTAAGTTCCTTTAGTCCGTGAGATGTCCTTGTAATTTTCTATAAACTCATTCCACAGGAGTGACTCAATGCGTTTCGACGCATCTGTGACCGACAGACAGAAGTTGATTGGTGAACCAACATTTGCAGCATGCTTCGCAAAATAATCGGCTGTTTCATTGATTGGTATACCGACATGGGAAGGTGTCCAAACAAACGAGATTTTATTTAAATGCGAATTAACAATTTTGTTTAAAATATTGTACACAGTGAAATTGTGAGATGTGTTGTTTTTAAGCAGAAGACAAGCATTTTTGCTGTCTGTAAATAAAGCAGCTGTGCCGACACCGTCTTCGATCATCAAATCGATTGCCTTTTCAATTGCACATAGTTCACCAGTAAGAGAAGAAAGTTAATTTTGAAAACAAAATTTTGATTTGCAGATATATTGCAGACAGCGCAACCTGTGTTGTTGTTAAAAACGGCAGCATCCGTCGCCCAAATAGAAACGCCTTCGGATCTGAAGTCGTTAATTAATTCGTAGTAGTGAGCTTTGAAGTATTCCGTTGGTGCATTGTTTTTGGTAGTATTAAATATTTCTAGCATGAAATCTACCTTGTTGGTCGGATGTTGATTGTAACCAATTTTGAGATTTTCAAAAATTGTGCGAAACTTTGTATAAACATATCCAAGACTAGTTTTTCTTGAGATATTTGAGGTGAAGTATTCTTTAGCTGCCAAATGTTGAGCTCTTAAATCTGTTGGTAGCATACCAGCTAGAGCGTATACCACATGATTTGGAGTGGAAGGCACCAGTCCCAAATTTTTTCTTAACAACTGATTTTGAAAGCTTGTTAGCTTCTTGTTTATATACGTTGGTCTGTGAGCCATCGATGAGATTGCATATTCGGTCTTTGAGAAGATAAGTGATTTTGACAGGTTTATAGCTTTTGCGGGATGAATTCCACTTTTTGGACCTGTGACCATTGACATGACATTAACAGTATTTCTGCAGGATATCATCACCTCTTCGTAGTGCTCCTTGAGTGATAGACTGTTTTTAATATGTCTCCCTAAAAATGTAATGGACTTAACAACATTTACTTGGACTCCATTTAGTAAATGTTGGGATTTTTCCGACTTTAGTCACGTACATTACTGAAGTTTTCTCAACATTGACGTCGAGATTTAGTTTTTTTTAATAAGGATACCATGTTATTGGTTTTGATTTGTATAATATTGTTGGCACTATCAAAGTCATGGCTTGCCGCAAGGAAAATAAAATCATCCGCATATTGGAAAATGTTAGTGTTTTCATCAGCTAAACCATGGAAGCCTATTGTGTGTGACAGCCACATATATTATTTATTTCTTTTTATTTGGCGGCACAAAATTCTTCTACATCATAAAAGTTGGAATGAAGTAAAACAGATGTCTGTCGATTAGACAGTGTTGGTTAACAACATTTCAAGCATTGTCATCAAAATGAAAAACGTTCCGAGTTCGTAATATGTCTATTAATCAATATATGAATGTAACCGCACCATTGATCTTAAACTAGTTTTAGAAAAATGTGTCATATAAATTATATTGGATATTCGTCAAATAAATGACATAATTGACTCAACACCGTTAGGATCTAGTTGGCAATTTATAATGCGTTTACGTTGAGATATATTACCTGAAAATCAGTAATATTTTGAATTTTCTTTTAATCGAAATTAATTTTGATTTCAGCGTTTTTAAAATCTTCTACTTTTACTTGTGCATAGGAACACGAATTAAAACATTGAAATTAATTAACAATGAAAAAAAAACAAAGAAAATAATATAATTTTAAACTTGATTTCTTCAAAAAACTGATTTTTATGAAGTACAACATTAGGTCCCTAATAAAAAAATCAGTAGGTTCCACCACAGTTGCAATTGATGTGACAATCATATGTGTATCCTGAGCCTAGAAGGTCACCCTGCACTTGAAACACGTTTTATCGGCCTCTTTTTCCTTCCATCTGTGGTAAAGTCAAGAC